AAGAGTGCTCCCATAGCGCTTCTGAACAAGCTGTTTGGACATAATAGCACGACAATGAGGTTTAAATGGTCCACTGTAAAGAAGCCTTAATGAACAGTATTACACAGAGTTGAAACTGATGTTGTAAAACGAGCCACAGACTTAACTTTAAATATGAGATTAATTATTTCAGCAAATATTAAATCACGATTATTTAATGTCTGAGATTTGCTCTTTTCTTCTTTCCAAGTTTTTCTAAATGACACAGGAGGAAAAATTAAATGCATGAACTGGTTACGTATGGTCTCGGCAAACAAAAGAAGCCCGTGCTTGTAAGAAAATGGGAATAGCTGCAGGGACAGCTAGAGGAAAAGCACAAATGTGACTCTGCCTGTGACCCAGTTCTCCAGATGTATAGGGCTAGGCTTTGACCACTCTCACTCCTGCACTACTATCTGCTTCTGACTACAGAAAGTCAGTTGGCTCATATGGTGATAAATTACAAAATACTGTTAGTGACATTGAGACATGCTAAGTAGTAAGGACAGACTCACACTTCACATTTATTTATGGCTCATGTCATTGGAATTACAGATGTGGAAAAAAACAGTTTTAGATCAACTGATCAGAGCAGCCTCCCCACAAATAAAAGGTCTTTCAATAACCGGTTTCAACTTCTCAGTGTAAGAGAAGAAGAAATTTGTGAAGATAAAATTCAGCTTACTAGTTAACTATTTCATGTTACAATTTAATTTAAAACATAAAAAATACTGACCTCATATTCCTCCATGTTTACTTCATCTGGCTTTATCATTTCAAGTTTAGCTTGAGCAACCTTCATTATGTTACGGCACCTTACAGAAAGCAACAAGAAATCATGGAATATTATTGGAAACTTGCAAAGGATATTATCCACGCAAAGACAGCAGCCTCAAACAGTATAAGCTACAGCCTTATGCAAATCAGTATGAAACACTGGAAAATGTGCTTTTTGTTTCACATAATCAGCAGGAGAAGTACATGTGATGGAGGCCTGTGCTATTTAAGAATTACTTTTTGTTTTATTTTGCTAAATTGCCACATTGCTCAGTCTTTCTTCTTAATTTAAAATTCATATGGCTTGAAACTACTCCCCAATAGTTACTTTGCAAAGGTAACACTAGAGGATTATTCACTATGCAGAAATCAGACTAATGTTCTCTATCTTTCAATTTATTTATTTATTTAAATAAGTAAATATATGGAATTTCAAGTGGAGAAGAGACATTGTCTTGCATTCAAGTAAGTTACCCATCTAGCTTGCAAGACTGCTGTCTACTGCTGGCTTTCAGGGCAGTGAAGAATGCAAACGACACGGCCTTGCACAGTATTTTCAAAGAAGGCACAGAAATCTATGTGCAATATTATGAACAACACTGAATATTTCTCCTTATTTCATAATAATAGAAACTCAACTTATTGTTCACTCTTTTTAAGAGATTTTTATAAAGACGGCATTTGTTACAAAATATAGTTGCAAGCTATTAACTAGAAGATAAAGCCAAAACACACACACTAGCCTTCCCTATATTACGTGCACTATCTGAATACGAAGGGGCATCTCCACACATCAGAGAATGTTGGTGAGCACAGGAAATGAGACACGCAGATCTTATTACCTTTCATCAAAGCTAAGATTGTGATCTCCAAACTGTTCCAGTAATGTTCTCTCAATTATCTTCTTTGGTGCCTGGTTTTGGATGAAGTAAACAATTGCGTGACGCAAACGGTAATCACATTCAGGTGGTGGATCTTCCTGGGCTAATTTTAGTAGACGTGTGTATTCCAATTTAATTGCCTAAATAATTTTAAAAACATACATTATTCTTTCTGACTTTTAACTCTTAAGCATCACAGACACTAACAGGATAGTTCACGTCCCATGGCCTTTTGCGTACAAAATAATTTTTTAACAATTCCATACTCCACCCTTCTAACAAGCGATAACTATGTTTAAAAAAAAAAAAAACAACCACAAACAAACAAAAAACCAAACCAAACAACGAAACAACAGACAAATGGTAAAGTTGTTCCTGTCTCTCCTCAACTAAGCCTGCCAAAATCCCAGGCAGACCTTTACTGCAAAAGCAGTCCCAATCCTGTGCTATGTCTCCCTGAGAGAAGATTAATCTAATCCCTAGAGAGGCTTCTTTTATCATTTACAGTCCAAAAGCAGTATAAGATTTCAGACCCTTTACTTAAAGGAATCTTCTAAAAATCTCGTAAGGTAAAAAAGGTACCTCTAACACATGGTTAAAATGCAAATACATGAATAAAAAAAAATTCTACAGAAAGTTTAATGAACATGTATGATTTTGGAAATACTAAGTGAGAATGAAAAAATTCTTTCAACAAAAAACAAATGGTAAGATTTCTAAATAAAATAATACTTCAATACAAGTAGTATTAGTCTCCTATAGGGCTGGACAGAGTCCTCACTGAATATTTTAGATTGACTTTAGAGGTCATCAGAAGTGCTTACTTTTCCAGCTTTGCCAGCACATTAGATTTTAATGAACCTCATTTGTTATGTTCATTAGATTTTACTCACTGAAACTATACAGTATGAACAAGAGCAACAACAAGAAAAATAATTAGAAAAATGGTGACAAATGTTAATACGTTCTATAATTTATCTCTCAAAATAGGGAGGTGATCAGATTGTTTGCTAACACTAAATGTCGACTTGAAACAAATGACTTAACACAGTAGCTTCACACATTAGCAAAGCTTCAATACAATATATGCACCAAATAAAGCTCCAAAGCAGGCAGAAAAATATCCTGCTAAGTATTTCAAATTCCTTTATGTTTAAATACCTGGCAGTAGTAGCAGGTAACTTGACTAGTCTTAACCATCAGAAATTTGGGCTCCCATCCTCTACTAATACACATTTTATTTCAGGACTAAACACATGGGGAGGATACTGTTCATATAGGCTTAAACACAGAGCGTGTGGAGAACTTTCAAACTTGAGAACGTTCTGCATCAATATTTTTAAATACTAATCATATGCATCATCATAAAAAAGGAAGTTTGGGAGAACCGATTATAAATATTGAAAGCCACAAACAGAGTTTCTATTATCTTACATCAGAAGTTGTTCTACTGTTAGAAAACCAACAAGGGTAACTATGCAATTAAACCCTGTTTATTGGGGTAGGTAGGCCAGAAACAAAAAGCAATTGCTATTAGACATTTAATTTTTCGGAGAATTACTTAGAAGGAGGAAAAAATGCAACACAAACCCTTATTTTTGTATACATGCTTAAACAAGATGGTATGCCACGAATTCAGAAATCCTATGTACAATGAAAAATAACACTATAATATAGTATAGATGTATAGAATACAGTAAAATGGAGTGTAGAAAAAAAACGTATTATGTGTTTTCATTTTCTCACTGAGAATGTTATATAAAGATCTTAAGGCAAACATTCTACCAGGACCTGTCTATAAAGTTTAAAGAAGGGTTATTGAAAGAGCTCACTGATCAAGAAATCTTTTAATGGGTTTGTATCAGTCATGTCTCAGGCCTGAGACTGAAAGGGGAAGTGAAATCTTGGCAGTAAAAATGACCCACATCAAAATATGTTTTACCTGGATTACACTAAAACAAAGACATCACAGAAAAACCCCCACAATTTTCTGTAAACACTTATTTTATAAAAAAAAACCCCACATACATGAAGAAACTCAGAGTATAACAGTATTAAAAAATATCATAGAAGTTTTTACAATAAGTTTATGGAGTAACATGAGATTTCATCTGATATGTCTCAAAATACAAATTTTCTTACTAAGTAGGGCCACTTCATCTGCATACATTCATGCTAATGTATTCCGCAAGAATTATGCACGTTCCACCTCTTCTAAGTTATTGCAAACATAATTCAGCAGAAAATGAATAAGGAAACTTTTCCACTCTCCAACAATTCAGTGTCAGAACATTTTCTCACTCAAAGACAAATTCTGTCCCCCGTGAAGTGAAAATGGTTAAGCATCCAACATTAAAGACCTAAGAACATTTCAACTGAGCATTGTTTTGATAACTCAAAAAATAAAAATCATACTTAGTGCTTTGGAACTGCATTTCTGTTTTAAAATTATCACAACACACCCTTCCTATTCAAAAAATAATTTGGTGTAATTAAACTTTCTGGTAAAGAGTTTGATTTGATCAAATGAGCATTTTTTTCAATTTAATGAAAAGATATCAATTATTTTTTTTTACAGTAGTAAATTTGGGGGTGGTGGAGGGGACAACCAAACAAAAAAACCGAACAAAAACCCAGCACCAAACCCCTCCAAAAATTATTTCATTTAACAGAGGCTATGGTAGGTGTCTCTCTGTTCCCTGAGGGCAGACACGGCTAACAGAGAGAGCCCTGCAAACAAGGGTTATTGTCGTAACACTTCTCTAAGTAGCCATTACAAAAAACCACACAGATAAACCAACCCAGGAAATTTCAATTTCCTTAGATAGAGGTTAGAGAATTTGTTGTTGTTGTTGAGGGGTTTGTTTGGTTGTTGTTTGGGGTTTTTTTGTTTCTTTTTGTTTCTATAATTTCTTCCAGTGCAACTACACCATAATAATTAAAAAGAAAACAGACTGCTACTCAACAAGAAGCAAGAAACTTCTTCCCTCCCTCCAAATCACATTTCAGAGGATTTTACATCATGCCAAAGTAATTCCCATTCTAACACCCTGAAAATTCAAACGATCATGAGCTAAAAATGCTCAGAAGTTTGTGTATTTCAGAAGACTAACACATTTTTAAATTTGGTATCGTTGTGAAGAGTAATAACCACAAAAAGCATAATGCGTAATTCCCAGTAATAAAACACTGCATAAATAAATAGTATTGACATCCATGCAGTTACACAAAAGAAAGTAATTTAGATTTACTAAAAATCTTTTAAGAATTAAAGCAAGAAGATCTCTCTTTGAAATAAAGAACAAATGACTGAACACTGATGTCCCTGGGTGAAAAAACTGATGTCCCAAACAGTCTAGCAAAGGCATGTGTTTTGTTACTAACAGGGGAAAAAAATGCATATTCTTATTGATTACACATCCAGGTTTCACGTTACTTGCTACTATTATTAGAAAGCTAAAATGCAGAGAGGTATATAAGCTACTGACATCAAGGCAGTGTAAGGCTGAATCAACAGGGAAATAGCTGTTTATTTTTCAAGGGAGAAATATCTAAATGGAAGACTGATACCACAGAGGAGTATGTATAAATGCTGCAACAGTCTTAATACGCATCAAAGTGCATATTCTTATTGATTACACATCCAGGTTTCACGTTACTTGCTACTATTATTAGAAAGCTAAAATGCAGAGAGGTATATAAGCTACTGACATCAAGGCAGTGTAAGGCTGAATCAACAGGGAAATAGCTGTTTATTTTTCAAGGGAGAAATATCTAAATGGAAGACTGATACCACAGAGGAGTATAAATGCTGCAACAGTCTTAATATGCATCAAAGGGTGGGGGAAGAAGGCATATCTAACAAGAAATGTCAGAGGAGAAAAAGTCGAAAACGTTAGTTGTACCTTAAAGAACCCTGCTTCTGGCCCACACCTGTCATAAACATTCCTGGCTTTACCTATAGCCATGATAATACCTTGCATGTTCGGGGTCAGCATGACCTGCCACAAGGGATTTAAGGTAAAAGTTTTGAATGATTAATATTTTAATGACCAAATTCAATATGCTTTTAGTCTCATGCAAGATAAAAAACAACTTAATGCATGCATACATTGAAATGACACATTTCAATACAGATCTGGTGTGCATATTCTGCAAATCAGTCACAGCATGTGTACATATTTTTTACTTAACAACGTATGATTAAAGGAAGCTTACAAAACAATACTGGAGAACCGTGTCAAATACAATTTAACAGTTACATGGTCAAAACTTCCGAGGAAAGGAACATGCATCGTTCAGCATTAGTATCCATCAGAAACTGCACACTGAATGAGTGCTACCCATGGGCAACAAAGGACAAAAAAAAGGTGTTTCAAATAGAAAAATCACCCAATCACACTTTATACAGACTATACTAAAAGCATAGTAAACTACACTGCCTGTATATGTATTTCAACATCAAAATAAGTGACCCATTGCTGCAGATGCAATTGGTCCCTGAAGCATTTGCAGAAAAATGCTTAAAAATCAGACCCAAAGCATTTAACAAACACAAAGCCAAACACAAGACATACATCTCACAGCTATTCACATCAGTTATACAGAAACAATGTGATACATCTAGGTTACTCAGAAAGGCCTTTCCCCTTTGTTATCTGTGAGCAAAGAAAAACACTCCCCGTCTCCCTGCTCAAGGTATAGCTGGCACAGCAACAAATGCTGGCCCTTAAGAACAGAAGATGAAGAACCCTAAACTTCGCCGAAGAGTTTCCCACACATAAGAACAACATTAAAAAGAAAGTGAATACACTTACAAAAAGAACAGGGAAATAGGGAAAAAGGTTATCACCTTTTGCATGGGGACTACAGTGAAAAAAAAGAGAAAGCCCCCAAAAGGCAGATCATTAGGTGAGGCTAAATCCTCATGTCTTTAAAGGTTGAGACTACACATCTGAGAGAAGCCAAACTTAGTGTGATGATATCAATTCAATCATTTTATTCCCTATCCCATACTGTTACAATTGATCACAATTACAGGGCAGAATGACCTGAAATATCCATTTGCCTAGGGAAGCAAAAGCTCCCCACAGGTGTCTGAGAATGTGTTCTTGGTGGGCTGAGAATATGGGTTGCACCAAGGCTGAGCCCAGCCAAACCAAACACGGAGTAAGCAGTGTCAAGGCAGGACAGTTTGATGACCTGGCAGTGTTGCTTTCTGCTGCTAAAATAGGGCAGCAGAAAATAACATCTCTCAGGATAACATGAGCCTCTCATCTGTTCCTCAAGCAGTACCAGGTACACATACCACCCTGGATCTGAATTGGGCAAAATGACATTTTTTATATTTTTTATTTTTCCTTAAGCTTTGGAAGAGTCAACTCCACCAGACATCAGTTTCAGGTTATTTCCATGGATAATGTAATCCTTGCAGTCTGAAAAGTTTAACCTTGGCAAATACGGGTCAGACTAGAACATTAGCTTTATTGGACTGACAAGAAAGCACAAACATTGAGAACATTACTCACTGTCCTGTCACTTTTTAAACAATGTAGTAGTCCGCAGTCTATCACCAGCATTTCAAAAGCTATCTGGCCTAATACACACATTCAACTTCCACAGCTAAAAAGACAAATATACCTCCAGTGTAAATGGTACCATGCAAAGCGTGCCCCATTAGAGTAGCTAGTGCTTTCCTTTCATATCTCATTACAAATTAAGACATTGTTAAGGTTACAAATCGCTAAGCATTTAGTTTTGCTGAGATCTGTTAGGTGTCACAATGTGCAAACATGCTAAAAATTCCCATCAGGCAGCACAAGAAAGCACCAAGAAGTGGTGCACACAACTGCAATCAAATGTACCTCATCGTCATAACCCCCCTCCTCTGACTCAATCACAAAAGTCCCTACATCAGGAATCGCCACCTCTACAACTCGCTGGTTAGGAGCTGGTTGAGCTGGGGCATTATCAGAGCTCTGCAGAAGAAAACCATTATCAGTATGTGTGTGGGGAAAAAATAAAAACAAACAGAAAATAGAGAAAATTAGAGAGACGCAAACTCACAGGCTAAGTAAAACGATGTGCACTGCTGAAGTTCTGAAGAACTTAAGTTTCACTTATATTCTCTAATTACTTACAGTTTCTTTATTTTTAAGCAGTACATTTTAAAATTAAGCAATAATTATTAAAAAGACTTCATTTCTTCTTTATTCACTGATATCTTTACAGGTCAGTATGCCAGTACTGCAACTCTAACATCCATTACAAATGTAAGGTAGTTGCTAAAGGATGAGTCTGTGAATCACCACTTCTTTTCATATGTTTCACCAAAAAATTACTAAATATATCTGAAGTATCTGATGTTGCCATCCTTTAGTATGAAATCAAGCCAAAAGCTAACATTTCCTGACGCTCTGGGGCGGGCAGGGGGGAAATAACTTGATTGCTAGAGGCTTTTTTGGGTATTTAAAAGAATATTTAAAGATGCATTATATTCAAGAGGTTTACTTTTTTAGAATCCTAATTAGAAAATCAGGGGAAAGTTATGTAAGTCACTGAAATTTGTGCTACATTAAAGTCAGTTTTAAACAACAACGGAGACAAATCTCAGCTCCTGTGGTCGATCATTGTATAATAGCCAGTTTACAACATTTGCAGACCTTAAACCTAGACTCTACTCTAAGCAATCAGAGAGTGCCATGCTACTTGTTCTGCAACTATTACAACAGTCTCATTTTTTTAACAAAGATTCCAGAAATACACATAGTATCTATTTACATCCAGCACTGTATAAATACAAAGGAAGACTGTGCAATCAGAGGGCAGAAAAAAAATGACAAAAGGGCAGAAAATGGACACAGACGATCATCTAGTGACTAATCTACAATCCTGTTTGTTACATGTTCTGATGTTGGCTTTCGTTCTTTTAAAATGGACAAACAACAAGTGGAGGAAAGGAATGTCGGCCTGCATGTCAGAATGCATACAGAAGTAGAATGACCAGAAAGCATGCTGGTACACTGAGAAGGAAGCACAATTCTGCTTAAGTTAAACTTGGGTATACAGGGAGCAGTTTTATACATTAACAGAGTAGCTTCAGATTAGATAGAATCTGGCTTTAGATTCTAACAGCTGAAATACATCTGTTTCTAAATAAGAGTTGGCCTGGTTTGGGGGGTTTTGTTTTTATTTTTAAAGAGCCATCCACCTTGTTGCAGAAGAAGGCAGTGAAAATACTGGAATGAGACAACGTGCATCTGCCTCATTAAGCCTATTGTGATGTTCCCTATGTGGTTCCTCAACCTCAGTCTTGTAAAGCCCTAAGGCTGATCACTGTGCAAAGTGTCATTAGCCTAAACTAAAACACTTGATCCAAGGAATCAAGTCTAAGATTCTTCCACATCCCGCTGGGATGGATGCTCACAGACCCTAGAAAGAGGACAGCATTGTACAAGATATTTAATCATGGGTTTGGTATCTTCATAGCTACCCCTTCAGCTGGAAGTAACTCATATTAAACAGGCTTCCTCTAAGCTGTTCTGTGTTCTGAGAACTCAAGAGTGAGACACACAGTAGCCTGAAGCATTAGTGGTAGAACACCTTTGCATCCCGGGTTAGATTAGTTTCCCTGTTGGATTTGATTTCAGTTTAGCAGAGAAAGCATGCTTCCCTGCTCTCCTGACACCACAGGAGAGAGGGACAGAAAACACATCAGGTATAAGAGTCAAAAAGTTGTCATGTCATTTTCAAATGCTTTAACAGGACCTTCCTGTTGGCCCCAACTACTTGGGGCTAGACTGTTTCCATTTAACAAGGATTCATACCTGAACTTAGGAAGCATGCTTAAAATTTTGCATAGATCTAAATTGTTCGTATCTCTAGCGGTTACCAGGGGTGCCTAAGGAAGCTGTACTGTACGTTTCGTACGTTTTATCTTACGGATACAGTTCCAAGACAGATGCATGTATTGCTCTAAAGGCACTTGCTTTTGTGGCAAATACTGTTGGTCATTTATCTATATACTTACAGGGAAGCACAAAAAAATATTTGCTGGAAGAAAAAACCTGTTAAATATTAGTTTCATTAATAACTCATAAAGTAATTAATTTCCAGTTCCTCTTAGTATTTGTTATATGAAGTGAAAACAGAATCACTCAACACTACATCTTATAACCATTTTAAGTTAATATATGCATCTGATGAATCACAAAAAAAAATTTCGTCAAGTTGTGAATTTGCATTAAAGTCACACCATACTGTTGAAAAACCCCCTTATTTCTGAAAGCTATTTTATCTTCCATAGGTCTTTCAAGGGAATGCAATTGTAATCTTATATTTCTCAGATAAAAGCCTTAATGTTTAAAGCAGTATTTTTCAAGTTGGCTACATGGAATATCAGCATTTACTCTTCAAACATAAATGGAACCATCTAACATTTTGGTAAGATGGTGGGCACAAACACGATTGCCATTTGAACAATATTCTGTACTCTTGGCACGTACTTTAATCACACAGAGGACATAAAAGTATTTTTCTTCTACGACACCCATTACTGTAGTACATACTTTCTGGATGGAGTTTAGTGTTGGACAGTCCCTGAAGAAATAGCAATTTTCATTTCAAAGTTTCCACATACACACCCTTTTATATCGTTTCCGCTTGCAAAATAAAAGCAAAATAGATATTTCAAGCTTCAAAATATCCTCACCGTATCCATTATAGCTTCTGGACCTCTATCTTCTTGTTCAGATAAAGCTTTATTGATTGCTTGTACAGAATCTTCTTTTAAGTGCTTTGAAATATCAGTTCTTGATGGCTGCTCTAAATATTCCGGTTCTCCTGCTTGAACTTAGTGACAGAAATAAGATAACAATTCTGTATGTTAATATAAGCATGAATTTTTAATTGATTAGTTTTATTTGGATCACTGTCTCATAGCTAAGGTATGACACACAGAAAATCTTATAAAATATTATTTATATTAGACCCATTAAGGCTCATGAGTCAGGGGGGATGACTGAGAACAAAGATGAGATTCTACTTGGACCTTCTGTGGGGTACAGACCCAATATATGGAATGACCTACAGCCATGTGAGTGCCAGATGCATTTTTACTTCACAAAATAATCAACAGATCATATTCTTCTGACTTAAGGGAAATCTCCAAGTCTCCCCCACCTTGAGGCCAATAAAACTGATTAGTGTAAATAGTGTCTTATACTCCTTACACAATGAAAGCAAATTTTGGCAGACTAATAAAACATTCATTTAGTACTTTCCATTACTAACAAAAGAACTAAAACCAGTCTCAAAGTGTTTATGAAGTCAAAACATATAGAAGATGAAGTCACTCTCCACAGAGTTTTTGCAAAAAGAGAAATGTCATTAAATCACTGCACTTTTTACATTTAGTTTGCAGTCACAAATAAGTTATGAGAAATATATGCTCAGTTTTAATGACTCAAATACAACAATGAGAACATCTGGACAGCAGTCTCACTGCACAAATCCATCGTGTCATCTTTCACGTAATGCACATACAGCCTTCTGTAATGGAGCAAAAGGTGAAACCGGACAGGTTTTTCTGTGCCAAAGCAGGCATGTGTTTTATAGTCGGATTGCCAGTGGTCTTTATTAGCTGGGTTCCTAACAGCATTAGCCTCACTGCTGCTGTTCAGAGCCTTTTCCACAGTTTTAACATCTTCATTTTTACATAGTAATTTAAGTGGGCCCTACTATTGCTAACTCAATTCAACACATTGCATCAAAATAAATTATTCTTCTCTTCAGATCTAAATTCTGTCTAATTTAAAATAAGAAGTTAGGTATTCTACTCATTCACTCTGAATAGAAGACATCACTTACGGACTAATAAATTCTCAAAACAGACTGGTGAGAGCTGTTAACAGTTACCTATCTTAAAAGGCCAAAATTTCTATGAAAAAAAAATAAAATAGTAAAAGCTAAGCACAACTGGGAGGAAAAAGACAGAAGAAACAAATAATACTTTTTTCTTTAAATAAAAAATAAAATGCAAACAAACCCCAACAGACTAAACTTCAAGTACAGTTACCTTGGCCAAGTACATAGTTATAATTAAAGATTACACAAATTAACTTTTTCTTCCTTTCTTAAGCTGTAAAACAATACATACAAAACCCAGTGACTTTTGGTTCTACTCTTTTTACAAACAGGTAGAAGCAGCTAACCTGGAGCAGGTGAGGGTGCTGGTGCCCTGGGTATCTGAGACAATAACTTCTCCTGCTGTGCTTTCTGGGCAAGTTCTGCATCCCACTCTTCAAGCTCTTTTTCAAAACGTTTATTGTCTTCCTTGACGTAATCCCTTAGATCAGAAGGGAGCGTGTCCATTCCAACAAGGATCTGTCCTGTTTCTTTGTTAAACTCATCTGCAGTAACATGAAATATATATTTCAGAAAAGGAAAGAATAGGGGAAAAGAAAGCATGTTCAACAAATTTCCTCAAGTGAATTACTGGAAAAAACATACAGTACAGCACCAAAACCCCCAAACTATAGTACTTTTAACTGTTTTTATTATCTGTCAGGCACTCCTCTGCTACTGAGACATACAGCTACTGTTCTTGCGATCTTTGGATCACACGTTCTTGGGCACTATCCAATCACTGCCATTTTGAAAGATGAGTCTTTTGGGCCATGAGCACCCTATGATTGTGAACATTCAAAAAAAGAGTCACAAAACCCCCTCCATAGCTTGATTGCATTACTGCCACACGGAGCTGCATGCAACTCAACTTCCCAGCAGAAAAGGGGAAGCAGACTAGGCCTACAGGGATTTGGAATGTCAACTGTTAAGAACACCAGCTACATTGAGCAACTTTCTTTTTTGCTTTGAGAATAGTCTCTACAAGACTATCCCAGATCCTAGGGGATCAACCAGCTGTAACTGTCCCCCAGCAAGCAGGCCTCAGACTTAGAGTGGCACTGCCACCCTTCAGGACCCATAAACCCTCTGGCTGCAAGTCCACTGCTAATCTGGCAATCTAGAAACGTCAAGGTTAATATCAGTTCTCATTTAGAAACTTAATAAATACGCACTCTAGCTTTCTGCCCTATGAAAAGAGAGAAACATGAAAATTTTCCACCACCTGTTATTGAATCTCTGGCCCTTTTCACAGTCAGCTCCCTAGTTACCATTATCAGGCCCCACAAAACTCGTGCTAAGGCACCTTTGTCCCCTCTCCAAATGCTTTCATACAAGCCTTATAGTTACATACTACATGACCTGAAAAAAAAATATCCCAATCCACGTATTATTTCGGTTTAATGTGTTGATGGTGGGGGTAAGCTATTCACATTTCATTATATTGCGTAAAGCTTCAAGTTTCCACGCTCCAGTAAACTTCATCAGAGTTCTGAAGCTTATGAAAAACAAAAGCTACATGAGGATTTTAATATCAAAGGGCTCATTTCTGTATTTCCATATTTCTGTTCTTCTCTTCAGTGAGATAACATCCTCAAAATTCTGAACATGCAATCACTTGGCTAAAATGTTTACAAATTAGCAAAATTAGTTTATTTTGCTGTCTTAATAGTGCTGAAACACTAGCATTATCTTTATTAATCTAAAAGTTGAAAAGCAATTGTTCCACTCACAAAAATAATCTAACAGTTATGAGCATAAATAGAACTTCCAGTAATTATTAAAACCATATCAAAAATCTGGAAATCTATCTGAAAGCACCTCGCTTTACCAATATATTCAGCTATTCTATATCATGCAGAAAACATATCCATTAACATTACCTTGTATCAAGTACTGCTCCTTATCACTGATATACATTAAACAATATGCTGCATTCCTGTAACCACCAAAAGAGTCCCGTTCCAACTCTTCCCAAGTTGACTTTGTCACAGATATATCATTGTATTTCATCCATCTGTTCTGGTGGTGGTCATAAATATATGCCCAATAGTGTCCTGCATTAGCTTGACCTTCATGAACTAGCACAGCATGCAACCTATAAGGAACCTTAAAGAAAAAAACAACAACAACAAAAAAACAAAACAAACAAACAAAAAAAACACGAAAAAACCCAAAATGTCAAAACTCTCCTTACCAGCATTTAGTTCCTGCTACTTGCCAGCAATAATAGCTACATTAAATAAGAGTAACAGAAATTAAGGTAAAGAGGATCAGAACATGACACAGAGGAAACACAAAAAGGTAAAACTAGCAACCCACTACGGAGAAGGACTTGGAACTATTTTACTTACCACTACTAGTCACAAAAAAAAAATCTTAAAAACATTAGTGAGTCTATAGCATAAATGTCTACTCTGCTGTCTTTACTGCCAGGCATCCTCATTTATTAATTCCTTAATATTCCTCCTTTCCTTGTATCTATAAGAAAACCCAAACCTTCAAATATGTCAGCCTTGAGCATCTATGATTTGCTCCAGTCCTGACCTGGTAAACTTGTCCTGAAGTCTGGAAAGGCATATGCAAATTCAAGGTAATAAACTCTGTGTTTTCTATGTGCCAGTGAGAGAGTTTATTTAAAGGAGTGTCTGGGAGTTGAATACTTCAATTAGCCAAAGGTAAAATTCTTACAGTAGAATAGGAATACAACTGTTTTCCAGTATTTTAAACTTATCAGTAAAAGTATTGCTAAGAGAAGCATGGAACACATGATGAGGTTCTCTCCTTCCTCCTGAGGTGGAGAAGGAAGATAACAGTTTCTAGGATCAATGTAAAAAAGTATCGCAGGTTACATGTGTTCACTGACAAGAGAGAAGAATGGGAAACTTAATTTCTGCGTAAGTAGTTGGAAATCTGAAGGGGAGAGAGAGACAGAAGCAGAATGAATTAGTGCTTCCTTCCTTACAAGTCTTTTAAAAGCATCTTAGTGATCAGCTCATTTTAACCTGCTGAAACAGCACATGCAACATAAAAGGGAAAACTGATCTTTCCTGCTATGCACAGTATGCTTCTATGACAACAGCTCAGCTAGGATGAAAAACCTGAAACCATCTTTTACTGCTGTCACAGTCTAGACTGTAGATAAATGGTGCATTTAACACAAGGTGTAGTAAATATTTGTTGTGAATATCATTTGAGCACCACAATAATCAGTAAGTATAAATACATATGTAACTATGACTTGAGAAACATCTTCAAGTTATTGCTAACCTGATCATTCTCTTCCAGGCTATATGCAAGTGCTGGAGATTTTGCAACCCCCCTTGAACTGTAAAGCTGACTGCCTGCACAGCAGCTGGAATCAAACAGTCTGTCATGCCAGAGACCAAACCGCACTGTAAATCTCCCAAATACAAGGAGTATACACAGAAGAAATCCTAGCAAGTCCTTAAGTCTGAGTGCTCTAGGGTTTTTAAAACATCTGTTACCAAACCAGTGTGAAAGCCTTCTTAAAATGATTGCAAGCCCACGTGTATGCCCATGAATATATGCAGATCCTGATTTTAAAAAAGGTGGGGGTCTCTTTAGACTTCAAAAATAAAATTTCCTCACTCCAAAATAGGGCATTAAAATTCCAGGTGAATTTAAGTCATATTACTTAAAACCATGCTAACTGGGTCAGCTTGAGTGCCCCTACCCCCTCCTCCAGCTCTGGAGGACCAGCTGTCAGTCATCCATGCTGAGCTTCCAGGAAGATTCCCCACAGAGGTCTGACTGGGGGACAGCAGCGTTCAGTGCCAACAGGCGTCTCTTGTGATAAGCCGTTATATCAACAGTAATTAACAGTACACGGCAACACAACAAGTAAATAGATGGCAGTAAACTTCTTAGCTTACACTTACTACTCATGGAACAGAAAACAGAGCTTCACCAACCTCGTCACATGTAGCTACGGAACAGATATATCAAAGCTGATATAAGAAAGATGAATTCCCACAGGAAAAACAGGTGTGTCTCATTTTCCCACAGCAAATTCATGGAAGGAGGGAAATAATCAAATAAGCAGCTGATGAAAACTATTCATTCAGGAAGACAAGACAAAATAAGAATTTTGGGAATATATTTCTTATGACAATCTGACAAGGGTCTTATGGATAACTGTAGTTTCCTTAGAATCAAAGAGGACACAAGGAGAAGATGAAGAGCTTCTTAAACAGTTCATACAAAAACTAGGAAGTATGCAGCAAAAATACTATGTTTTCCTTAAAATGTCTAGTTTATATGCCCAGACTTTATTGACTCACAAGAAAAAAAGCTTTCAGTCCTGCAATTGTATCATTCAGAGGAAAAGATCAATACTGTGAAACTGCTCCCAGAGAATGGGGTGACACGAAGCTATCAAATCGCCCAGATGCAGAGAGATAGGCAGGGGAAAGCAGACAGCTCTATGCACCTGTCTCCTTCCTGTTGTGCCAAAACACACCCAGGGACAAAACCGGCTGAGCTGCAGAAGGACAGCCTTCCCTTCCAGCCTGTGATTTCAGATGTGTTCAGTACCTACTTGTTCCCTAACAATCACTTAATACACACCACTACTCTCAGGCATGGCACATGAACCCTCTCTGCAAATCTATATACAGTCTTCATCCTCCTCTGTTTCTGGAATTCTGTTTCAAAACAAAAACAAAAAAATCCAATCTAGTTTATGCAAATCTGTACTAGGACAAAGTGTTTTATTAAGTAATCTCCTTTTTCCATTGTAATGGTTGCTGACTAATATCTTCGCCATTCAGAGCTATTTCCTGCTATAACACATAAGGCAACAAAGGTAGGCTATTTGGATGCGAGATCACCAAATTACTTCATTTTATTGTTAGATGACACGTAGCCTGTAGCATTCCTGTTATAACACAAGTATTAAGGAAAAAAATGCCTGCCAGTAGCAAGCTTAAAGCAAGTCATCTAGGCAAGTCTGCCTGAAATCCTTAACATCAGAGTTCAGCTGTCAGGAACTATTACAAGCCATGTACAAAATGAAAACGTACCTCAAGGAAAACTATAAGCTGACCAGATCCTGCTTGGAAGGAAAATAATTCTTTTTACTAACAGAAAGTAACAGAGGAAGTAATCCCTAACCTTAAAACCTATCAAAGTGAGCCAACATGAGTATGTGAACATAACAAATACCAGAGAAGCCACGACTCCATAGTAAAGCATTCTAAAAATGCTGTTCAGATTACAGAGCATGCGAATCTCCCTAAAAGGCAGCTTATACTAATAGCCAAGGTTGAGACTGATACTAAATCTAGACAGTTTTAAAAAACCACAACAAAACAACAACAAAAAACCCACTGACATTACTAACTACAAATTAAAGTTAGGAGCCTTGAATTCTCAAGTATTAGTATTGAAGTTGCAATACACAATGGCAATAAGCATTGAAATATAAAAGTAATAGTTTCTTGTGTCTAATGCTTTGCCACCTTAAAGCCATAAGGCTACCTAGCGATATGGTCAAATCATGGTGAGAAAATTTTATTGTATTATACAAAAACTGAAGTTCTGCATTCAAGTCAAAAAAGCAGATCAGAGATAAAACATTTATATTTGGGCTTTTCATCACAATGTTGCTTAAACTTAAGTGTGTCATATGTTATACCTGTCTTAGGTCACCTGTAAAATATCATAACGCTGTCTTTCATCTGACTGTGCATAGTTAAAAGGTTTGCAAAACCCATTATGACTTTCCAGTGAAATTTCTCAAACCGTTATATATAATTGTTGTATACTTGCTCTATTTTCAAGCATCTAACAACTTTAATAGAAGTGACAAAAAGGATCTATTTTGAATTATCTTGTGCAGAAATTGTACTTACTTGGACCATTGTTTTGTCAGAGTACATCAATTCAATTGTCCGATGTATTCTAGATATACTTTCTTGTAAATCTAAAAGAAAAACAAAAAAAGAAACTCTCTTCCATGAAGCTGCATAATTGCACATGGCTACATCTTTATTTTATATGAGGCTCAAATGAGGGTACGTTTCATGTTTGGTGCATCTGTTTATCTACCTACATGCCAAACACCAAACCTTCTCAGACGATACCGCAGAGAGAGCGGCTCATGGTACACCACTGCTCATTTTCCAGCGCTCAACCAAGCCCACCTCTGCTGGAACAACAACTTCCCTTGTTTTCCTCAGAGCAAGGGAACAGATCGTATGCTCTACCCACTCCAAAAAGCCTTTGCTCAGAAATTTGCTGAATTTTCCCCTCACAGAAGGGGCCACTCTACCTTGACGCCCCCGCAGAGCACCAAGTCACAGCATGGGCCCAGCCGCTATCACGCTGACAGCTCACGTCTGCAGAGACATTCTTTGGTGTGGATCCCATCTCTGTTTCACTCTACTCCCCCCAACATCACGCACACAGAAACCTGTGTTGAAACACCTGTGTATGCTTCACTCAATGCCCAGTTTGCATCTTCAGTTTATATACCTCCAGTCTACTACAATCTCTATCTGACTTCCCTTCCTACGTGCTAGGGGCAAGTTTGGAAGTACGAAACAAGCAACTCAGCACATGCATGGACATTAAGGCGATTTCCCCCATTTCCACAAATTGTTTCCAAGGGCAAATGCATTCTCCAGCTTGCGGCATTACCTCTAGTGTCATTCTCTACTTCAGTCCTCCAGCGATGTAAACAGCCCTCTAGGACAGACAGCTCTTCCTCAGTGATGTGCCTTGGGGCCGGATGCATCGGCAGATCAGGAGGAATTCGTGATTGTGTGAATGGTTTATGTATTACTGATCTTTGTACAGGAGATGTGCTTGGAACATCTGAAGATGAAGGTCCCTGCTGCTCTATTGTGCTGCATTCATTCAAAACACAAAACATAAAAATTGTATCATCATGTATACAAACTAAAAACTACACCATAAAAATAAGCTTTTCATCTGAAAACAGAAATTTTAAAGGTAGTAAGTCCTATAGTGCAATCCAGAAAATGTACCTACAATTTCAACATGGAATTACTACATAAATTCTGAAAACTTAGTGGTGTACCTCAAGTTATCACAACAACAGCTCTGCCTGCCATTACCAAAGATAAAGGATTCTGAATTGAATCAGTCAAGCCAGTTTGCTTTACTTGAAATGCTGTTCAACACTTTCAAATAACATCATACAAGTAATCACTGTGGTTTGAAACATCTGCTGCCAAACTGCAGAGAAACAAACAAACAAAAAAATCACAGTGGCTTCTCTTGTGGCCCATTAACCATGAAATCCAATAAATAAAAGTTCTCCATTTAATAACTTCTTCGCATGCCTTATGCCTAGCAGACTTTTTTTCTCCAATTGCCTGCCTACATCTTATGTTAACTGAAACGCAACAATAAAAGGACCTCTGATATTTATGCCACACTGGAAATTTAGCACTAAACCATCTAAACTTGTTCCAGACAAGTCTTCTAACTCAAACAGCAAAGCGGCCAGCTTAGAATTCTACAAGGGCAGTAGAATATTAAAAATTAAAACCTGTTACAGATCTTTCCCTTCCCATCAACAGGACCACCTATATGTAATGATATGCATAACAGGAATCTGAAGGTATTTCTAGCAAGCCACTGACTTTTTACTTTGTGTACAGCATCACGACACTGAGGAACTTGGATTCTTCAGTAGTTTAGAAAGCTCTGAGAACATTAGGAGCTGACAATGTCACTCCGCATAACATGCTATTTTGTTTCTACAGATTGACAAAAAAGTCATAATATTTACATTTTACAGAAGAAACTTCCTATGTAGAGTTTGAACAAAGTATATTACTTCTGATACTGTATTTCATGCAAACAATGGTAGCTTTTAGAAGTTTGTCTTCTCTCACCAATCATCACGATTTCTACCAGCATTGTATCAGTAAGACGTTTTAAATCTTTTAAAGGCTTTTTAGATTCATTTACTTCAGTTCTCTGAACTACAGAGTTAACCATCTTGTCTGGACCAGAACCTAGAACCCTACTTTCCAAATGCAATATAAAAAGCTCTGTTATAAACTGTTCGTCTCCACCCAGCCAAGTCCTATCTGAAGTTATGCTCTATTAACTGTTACTAATAGTTACTAGCTTCAATAATGAGAAAAATAACATTACTGCACCTTTACCTCCTTGATAGTTTGGCTATTCTGCTTTTAAAAAGTCAGACTGTTAGGTTCCTGACAATCTTGTTGAGAAACATAAGCTGCAAAGCAGAAAAGGAGTTTAGCTCCCAGGCAAAAATTAACAGATAAATTGCACACCAGAAACCTTGAAGCAATGCAGCACATACATGCTGCCCAAATTCAGAGTCTTAAAAAATACACTTGGGAAGCAGTGACCTCACCAGATACTGTGTCTATTTGGAAATGTAAGTTGAATTGTGTTTTGTTTGAAAAAGGTAATTCTCTACCTAAAGACCATTTATAAGTGTATGAGACAAACCCAGGCTCTTAAAATTTTGGTTTATTTAAGCTTATTTATGCCTCAAAACACTTCTAGGAAGAGAGCAGAAACTTTACGCCATACCCCTCAGGAGAGGCCTAGTTGTATTAATCTGGTCTCTCCCAGCAGCCTGGTTTGCATGGAGGGGATGACCAGCCTCTTACCTTGGGAGAGCGGGAGGCAGCCCTTACCTGGGCGAGGTCTGGGCCGGCAGCGTGCCGCTGGCAGGGGCACTAGCACCCAGGTCATCGACAGGCGACGTGCACACCGGCTTGCTGGAGGCGAACTCCAAGGCGTACTGCAGGACATCTACCAAGGGGAATCGTTTAGGACCAGAACCATAGCTTAAATATCTGTTAACCATAAAATGTATTAATGCCATGACTCACATATACAAAAATAAAAGAAGAAAAAAAAAAGGAATTTTTTTCTGGTGGACTGCAATTAAAGCAAGCCTTTCCTAGCATGTTTCATGCATCAGAATTACCATAATTATACACAGTTTCCAAGAAAAATGGTAAAAGAAAAGAGATACAGAAGGGAAACCTAGAGCAAATAACTACACATAAAGTGTATAGTTGAAAGGGGTTATTCTATGTAGCCCATAATATTATTTGCATTTACACACTTATCTATAGTACCGTTCTAATCTCTGTTGTAAAACCGTGAGGTACTCTTTGAGTCTCTTGATTTCATCCCGTTTAATTCTTGTTATTTCTCTGTTTTTGTGCATATACCTGTAAAACATGAAATTTAGAAAGATGTGTCAGCCCGTAATATCCCAATACTGACACTGAGGTCTACACCCATCAGCCATCCTGCTTAGTGCTAATAAAAGCTCACACTCTCTAGAAACTACAATATATTAAGCAGTAACACAGAACTGCAAAGAAAATGATAAACGTATTAAGCCTTCCCTCCCACAACTTTCAGAGATGCTTTTTCCACAGTGTCAAAAGTTCTGTTCATATCATGGATGACACACATTTATTAGAAAGCTTCTAAATTAAGTGGTTTAAATAACAACCACGTAGCAATACTCCTGTTTCATTATTTAGGTTCATAAATAACATTCAGGATCTAACCAAATGCCATCATGATATTTCACCTCTACACAGAAACAGCATGCACTGATGCCAAGAATCCTCTTCAAACCATGCAGTCTATCTGGAACACCATGAAATATCTGACTTCTCACCCTCTTTTCCAAATGGACTCATAAACAGTGTGACTTTTCAGAGTATTTTACCTGTATACACAACTACCTAGTAATAAATTAAAGACTGAAGTACAAGCAGGTCTTGGCACCAAGTAGCAGTAGGTCTTAAATTGTTATCTATGTGTATTTTCTAAAACTGATGAAACCCATGAAAATTTTAACTTGTCTAGCTAGAACAGGAAATTACTGTGATTTAAATGAGAATAAGACGCACCAGCAACTTTACCAAAACTCATAAGATTTAATTTATATTCATACTAGGACTTTGTTGATAATATTATACTGTACCTGTCCAGATACAAAATTGAAGGAAATTCTAATTTGTTGTGTATCTTCTCTGGTCTCCCCAAAGCCTGATTAAATTCAAATCTTGATAGCTCAAAAGTTAAGACAGGAGGAAGCTCAGTGAACCAGTGCTGAACAAAAGAAAAACAGAAAACCCCACAATAAATGCCTTCCAATAGCAGAATTTGAGTAATAATGGTACAATACCTGCAGACTGACACAGCGATGGGAGAAACTGGTTTTAGAGGGTGGATCAGCACAAGCTTTCCAACGTTCCCTTCTTTCACCTTCACTGTAACCACAGACCATTTGTCACCCATGCTGCATCAGAGCTTTTCAACTCATCTACTGTGATCTTTGTTAAAGCGGGGTGGACAGGAAGGCTTCTTCCTTTCACATTCATCTTGCTCGTACTAAAAGTGGCCTACGCTTGAACCTACCTGCCTTGCCAACTGTCCTGTGCTCCTCTAACTCAAAGGCCACTGAGGAAGTCTTTATACTGTATCAAGTGCTCTTCCTGTTAGATCCCTCGGACTCAAGTTTCTGACCCTTTCATTCATCTGATATCATCAAAGTTTCTAATGATTTCTTCTTAAGCAGGATCAGAGAAGACTCTGAGCTGGGTTAAACAAGCTCTTTCAGCGTTGTAATACTTTTTCTTGAAATGTCCTCCGTACTAACAACCTCTCCTGAAGTTTCTGCTCGTGTCTCTAATCACTGCTAATCCATCCATGGACCAATCCATGTTATCATCACCTTATCCCAGCTTTTTTTAAGTATTCAGTAGAGGTCTGTCCTTAAGTCCTCATTTCTTTCATTTCTCAACTACAAGTCAAATTCAGCTCCAATTCCAGCAAAAGAGTCCCTTTTTTCCTCCCCACTCTGCAACATACAACCCACAGTGTAGCTGTTTAACATGTTTTGGATGTGTAACCATCAACTCAAGCATCCCTGATTGCTGCACACACTGTTGCCACACGTTTCTGACATCAATGCCCACAGCACAGACATGGCATTTAACTCAGGGCTCACTTCAAGTTGTCCTATCCAGCCAAATGTCTTGAATAGTCTTTTCATACAATACCTCCAAGACAGCCTTTTCTTTCTGTGCTCATGGCTAAAACTCAGGTCTTGGTTTTCATCACTCCACATCTCAGTGCGATGAATCCTCTCTTTTCCCCTTGCCCAGCCTTAGTGCACATAGCCTTGTCACACCAACAGATTTCCAGGATGTTGCTGAATTTTCCTAGTTCATTGCCTTCAGCATCACTTCTCACATCTGTTTACAAGCAAAACGAGCTGCCTTCCCTTTTCTTGCCTACATCAGCCTCCACTAACCACTTTTTCAGTTTTAAAGGAGACAGTCATGACTTCTGTCTTGTAGCAACTTCACACAGCAGTAAATTTTAATGCTAAAGTCAGCAAAGCCACACTACAACCCTTCTCACTAAAACCCTTTTATTGCAAGGCCCCCGAATCACTTAACGATGACTAAGCTGCTGATATGTTGAAGTTCATCAACCATGATGCTGACAAACGTTCTCTCATTTTCCCCACACTTCTAACTCCAAGTATGTGCATTGACCTCCATCTTCTCTTCAATTTGGATTTAAGTTCCTTGGGACTGGGAATGTCTCTTTTTTTTCTGTTCCTACGTTAGCTTGTTTGCTGACACCCTACTCCAAGGTGAGACTTTTAGGCATCGTGATGATGATGATAATAAACAAGCTAAATACCCCATTAGAGGCAATGGTGGAAACAAGGGGGAAAAAACCCGGAATGTTATTTTCAGGATAAAACACGTGACTATCATATTACTATTACTCTCTTTAAGCTTTGATATCCACCAGCTCAGACGAATACCACTTGAAGGCTGTGTCCAGCTGAGACAGTCTTCATTGAAACTACAAGAAATTCAACTTCCTTCAGTACTTCCAAGCCTTCCAATGTACTGTAACATCTTTGAGGCATTATGTTTAAACATAACTAGTAACAGCAGTAATCACTATAAATAACTTACTTCAGGGAAACATAACCAATTTACTTGGCCCTGGTAATACAACAGTAATGTTCTTCTAGATTAGGACTTAACACATTACCTTTCTTGTTTTGCCACTGTTGTCAATCTGTCATACGACTATTTCACTTCCATTTCCACATGCTAAGAAGCCAAGCTGATTAAAACCCTGACAGTTTCACAAAACTCAAAGCTTAACACTCTAGACCTGTGCATGACTATCCTTCTGTTCCCCATGGTTTCTTGATACTACACATTTAAAAAAAAAAAAGAACTCAAAAACTCAACAAATAACCCAAGTCTGACATTTCTAGTCAAGCATTTATAACTGAACTGACATTTTATGCATGAATGCCCACAGGTTTTAACTGCAAGACAACCTTCAGTCCATAAGATGAACAATCATGCCCTTGTAGTAGGTATGTACAAGATTTCACCTTGCATAAAGAAATTGAACTTTGGATTGTACCAAGATATTTATGAGATTTTTTTTTTTTCTTCCAGTTATATTTCAGGAAACATGCTCATTGTAAGAATTCATTTCTACAAGTGCTGGAATAAAAAAAAAAAGCATCCTGTGAAAGAAGAAAACACCTAGTAAGATGTGTAAATACATTTCAAAGTGCTTGTTAACATCTGATTTGGTTGATCAATACTTCATCAACAATAGCTCACCAGAAAAAAACGACTGCAAAAGGGACGCTATAAAACTTTTGTTGAGAATGTAAAATTGGAAATATAACTTCAGACTGGAGGATGATTTCTGTGTGCGTCACTAGGCCTAGTAACTAAACCCTGTGAGTATGCTCATATGTTTAAAGGAAGCAAAATTTCTTTACTGCTAAAGATTGACATCAAGGAAGAAACTATACCTGAACTTTTTACTTAAGTTGAAGAAACCTCCTAAGATTTCACATCTTTAAAGTAACTGTGATGAAACATGAACAACTGTGTAAAGAGAAAGCTCAGCCTTTACTGGCAATGGGGATTCTCATATTTCCACATCAATAACCCACAGGTTATTAGTTGAGAGCACTGCCAGAGAAAAATGCTGGGCATATGCATGCATGCCAGCAGTAAAAGGGGACATTTCAGAGCACAGCCTCTTGATTCTACAGCCCCCATCAGCCCAACTACCTCTTTTCCCTAACCTGCAACTTCTGTACAAGAAATACCATTTGTCACCTCATCCCACCACCACACACTGCATACCCCACTTCTTAGTGGGGCTCCATCTGAATCCCTCCCCCCATGCCTCCAGCATGCTCTGACATGTGGCAGCCTATTGCTCTAGCAAGAGCTCTCCTGGGAGGAAGAGCAGCTCATAGTCAGTATGGTCTGTCCACCACTGCGAGCAAAGAGGAGAATTGCTCACCGTAGGGGGCAAAGAGGAGGATGCTGCGACAAACCAGTAAAAAGGGGAGAGGGGAAGAAAAGTAGGCTGCTGAGGAATTACAAGACAAAGCACAGACGAACAACAATAGTGCTCTGAAGCAATGATCAAGTGCACAGCTCACTGTTGCTGTTTACAGCATGGCACAGGGCGGCAAATCAGTCAGAGCAGTGGTCAGCTACTATGGGACATTATACCCATGACCTCTGTGGAGATCAAATATCAGCAACAGGTGGGAACCAGGCTGTGCCAAAGCACTGTAAGCACTTAATTGTGCCAACTTTTTAATAAGCACAAACATAACCTCTTATGAAAAATACAAAAAGATGACACTCTGGGTACTCCAAAAGAGATAAACCCTCCCCCAAATTAACAATCCAGTTACACCAGACATCAGAACCTGCACAGCAGCAGGTCACAAAAAACCTCACTAATCTCAAAGAAAAACAAAAGGTCACTACACCACCACCCTCGGAGAAGCCTACAGAAACAGTTAACTCACCTCCTGACCAGACTTTGCAGAGTTTTCTGAATGGAGAGATTCAATTTCCCCTTCAATCATTGCAGCTTCTAGGCACTCATGCAGATCTTTAAAGCCATTAACTTGGAGTGGATACTGGCCAAACATTTCTGTGTTTTCAAATTTTTTACCTTCACATAAGAAATTAAACAGTTAAGGTTTTAGGAACAAACATTTACTTTAACAAACTCTAACAATCTTAGGTCACCTGACCTCATCTACCAAACAATACCCACATTTTCTTACTGAACAATTCAATTATATGTATGAAAACAAGTTACTCAAAAAGGTCGCTTGAATATAATATTGAAAATTGCTGCATTTTCCTCCTCTGCCCATTTTTTATATTGTTTTTGCATCTATTGGTAATAAGCAAAACTCAAAATGACTTGGCACCACAGATGCATGATAAGTTTTTACACATACAAACCAAAGCCCTCCTCCTACAAATAGCGGCTCAGTAATACAACCCTACATTGTATCAGCAAAGTCAGTGGAATTGCTGGTATGAAACAGCCCTTTGTATAAATACATTTTGCAAAAATAAACCACAAAAGAGAACATTCATGATTTCTCTCCTGAAAACAAGATCATAATTTGGTAACAGTGAATAAATATGTAAGTTCAAACATGAGGAGAAATATGAGTGACAAGTGATTTCAATGTACAATTTCAATTTATTTCATGCTAAAGTCAGTAACAAGTCTTACACCTACCAGTTTCTTTTCATTAGTTTAGTTTTTACATATCTACTCAGTTAAGATGAGAATGTAAGGAATGAAAGTAGCCAAATGCAAAGGAGCAAGAATGCTAACTAGTAGCAAGAAATCTGCAGAATGGTTTTGAAATCTGACAACAAATCATGAGATACACCATTCCAGGCTGAGGAACAACCAGGAAGCCACTTTAAAGACTATAGCTGCCTCATTCAAATGTATCTCAGGAGTCATTCACTCTTGGGATTGGGGAAAGAATCACCAAGATTAAAAATACTTTCACAACTGCTGAAGAATGCTGCAATTCTGCAGATTTACTAACTATATACAAATAAGATAAAGGAAACCTTGTTGTACAGTCTCTTCCTCTTCAGTACTCTCTGTGACACTGCCCTTGAGCAGTTTCCACTGACTTGCTTTCAGCAAATTGTACTTTTAAGAGGGCGAGTTACCCATACCAGAAATTGTGCAAAAGAAAATGCAATATTTGAAATTGCATTAAATGAAGCAGAGAGAGTGCGAGAGATTAGCTCAGTGAAATACAGTAACTTGCCTTCTGTGTATTATTAGTAAGTGGCAAAAGCACCCTGACAGTAATTTCTTGCAAGCATTTTAGCTCAGCATCTCACCCTAACTTCTACTGCACTTAAGTACATACGCTCACCTCCTGAAAGTTATCAAAACAGTCTTTCTGGACCACTGCAGCTCACTACATTTACTTTCAGTCTCATTCTCAGGACAAACCTTACGTCACAGACCAAACACGTATTCTCCAAGTGTACTTCTGCAGAAGTAGCTAAAAATGCTACATCTGCATCACTCACCTGTGTGCTTCAACGAGCACTAAACAGACACAAGCACAGAAGTCCAAGTAATTCAGATGCATACCTTCAAGTACACCTACTGCTAGAAATCGTCCATAAAACAACTCCACCATCGGGTTCTTTGGTTTCTCTCCATCCCTGAAAACAGAAAGCATGTTGGGGCGGGGCGGGGGGGGTTGGGAAATCAAGCACAAACCTACAAACTTTTATAAAACTATGAGCAGAATATTCTGAATTCGTTATGGAAATGCTACCTATTTTATTCAGTTACTGTTCATTAAGTTTTGTACTTTCCTCTAATGACAATAGCAATGATTCACATATTTGCAGTGATAAGAATATTCTGAAAATTAAGTTTCAGAAGTGCTTCATTTTAGGAAAATTTATGTAAATCAGATTCAATTCATGAGAGGTTAAAGTTGTACAAAACCCTTGTAAAAACTATTTCCTGCAACACTCTAGAAACAATTATGTATTCAAAAACCAGTTTACAGATGTTCACTTATACAAACACTGAGTATTTACTTCTGAAAAGAGAAATTGGCGCAAGGTCTTGAAGTATTTAAACTACAGGATTGAAAAGCAAAATTGCACTCAAATGAAAAAACCTAATTGCTTACGTACAAAACACATCTCCACTGTTTATACACTTTGGACTTCATTCAGCAAGATTTCTAACATGAAATAAAAAGGTGGAAAAAGACAATTTATGGAAAATCAAAGGTATTGGCACATATGGAAAAAACACACTTGAACTAAAACAAGCTACAGAGTTGGATCGTTTTCAGTGATACAGTGAGAAGTGGCGTTTTGGTTGTTTGGTTTGCTTTTTCTCATCAAAATGTTCACTATACAGAACTAGAAAAAAATCTTACCTCTCTTCTTCAGCTTTAATTTGGAAGGCATCTTCTAGCCAATCTAATAATTTGTGTGTAAATTCACTAACATCTTGCTGTTGAAAAATACAAAGCGATCAGTATGGATTCACATATGTAACACAACAAAGTGTCACCTTACAAGTGTCAGTATAGCAGCATTCCCCCCCACAAGAGTTCCAAAATTGCACTATGTCTAAGACTATGCCATGATTAGTTTCTTTATGAGTGGCTCTTGGAGCACACTAAGGCTCTGGTGTTCCTCAGCCATTACACTGTTTTGTGACGCTTATTACTTGGGCTCAGCTTTCATACCATGCTAGTCCAAAGGCATCTTATGAATCCCATTGTTCAAACTCTTTGGTATCTAAGCAAGTGGTGACTAATATTACTTTCATCGAGCACTAAATTCAGCATGCTGTTTGTAATTAAACACCTCATCCACATAACTTCACGTGGGAAAAATAAAGCATCTGAAGAAACCAAGCGTTTCTCAGAAAAGCAGAATATACCCACTAGGATTTAGGCAATAATCTTGAATATGAGTATTAGCATCCCCCAAACCAATATCTACACAGACAATAGTATACTAGGACTGTACCAGCGCCGGATGTACTGTTAGATCAGAAGAATAAAGAAAGCTCTTTCAAAAAAACAGAGACTTAGAAGCCAAACTAAAGCTGAATAAAATAGTTATGCTGTCCGGAACTTATTTTTTATTTTTAAAAAAAGTGACTAGAGATCACATAATAGTAGGGAAAAAGCTCAAAAACTGTGATAATTAGAAGTTTCTTTTCTGTGGACATTTTGCATTTTTGCTGTCCATTTTAAGTATTTCCTATTGCCAGATAACCATACGAAAACATGCAGAACCTTGAAAGAAAATACATAGAGATTACCTGTTGGGAATCATTTGATTTAAAAGCATCTTTAAGGATTTCAACTGCTCTTGATGGGTCAACATATTTTCTCTTTGAACCAACTAGAAGTGCAAACAGGTACCTCAATTCACGCATGAAAGGCAGATTCCTATGTTCCTGGATTTGAGGAAGAATTAAAAAATGTTTAAACAAAGTGTTTACAGAAGCACTACTCAATAAACTAAGCATATATGCAGCCAATCATCATAATAACACAGAAGATTATTTGTAGTACTAACAAGGTAGTGTTGCACGCCTTTTACTTGCCAGTTTTACAAAACCATGTAGTTCTCTTGGAAGAAAACTGCATTTCAGAAACAGAAAGCTCCCTGAAGCCCCATCTAGCTGTGGCTGTTTGACTTGAAATGGGGCTGTATGGACAAGTGGACGAGCTGAGTTGCATTTAAGATAGAACTCTTGTTCCCGAGACTCACAAAGCCTTAAGTAATACACTGCGACAAGATGCATTGATTTTACTGAAATCAGTATTCCTCTATAGCTCTACCAGAATTTCTTGTGAGCCTATACACTGCCTAGTAGCTTTTTGAGCTTATTTTTTGCTGAAGACTAAATTTATGTGTACACAAACCATTATTATTTCTCTTGACAGAAGTAGGAGAAATAGCCTGCTCTCCTTTTTAACTATTTTTTTTTTTTAAATATAGTTAGTTCATGGGGAACATGGAGCTCTTTCTGGTGTCCAGGAGAGAAGCTGAAGAAATACTTTCTGCCTGCACAATGAAAAGCAAGTAAACTGAAACACAAATCCATCAAGCCATAGATTAAACCACAGTTTACAAACACTGTTGATACTGGATATCACTCATAGTCCTGAGCAGATAGTTGAGAAATACTTGTGAAATTAAAACCCATGTAATATCCACTTGTATTTAGGACAAAGTATCATTCAAAGGCATCACAGATGTCAGATGCTGGTCAAACTGGAATTACTTGACGACAAACTATTTTACATGCTCAAATAGCAGACTTGTTTAGTCACTCCTATTTCAAACCAGTATGCATAAAGCTTTTTGTACATAAAGTCTGTTTTATTTCAGCTTTAAAAACTGTGTGTGGTGAACTGGAATATGTTCTGCATAATACCTAAAAAATACTTCTAGCCATGTAAATTCTCAAGTTTTACTTGCTCTTCTAGTCTACCTTGCAACACACCTGCCAGTTATAAACAATGTTCACAGCAAAGGCTGACGACTTCTTCAAATGCCACTATAATTCAGCATTAAATCACCATAATTAAAGAATAAAAATCAATCCTCCTTTTGCATATTTAAAGCACTTTATAACAACGAAACAGGAGAACAAATTGTGAAAGTGATTTTTTCTTAGTATTTTCATAGTGATCTATAAAAAATTAACAGAATTTCACATTTTAGATACAGATTTATTTTATCAAGATGCTTCAATACCAGTGATAATTCCATATGCATAATACAGATAATTCATCACAAAATACTCTGGATTTCACCTTTCTTTTGTTAAATCTGAAGTACATAGGGAGTGAGATTATTGCATACTTACCCAAATTTATACTACTAATTTGGCTGAGTTTTAAGCATACTTGTAGCTTTAGGTTGAACAACTGGCTACTGATGTCATTAGGATTAGACAGAACAAGTATCTCTGTAAAGCCTATAAAAGTCTCTAAAACTAGAAAAATCCTTGTTGTTTTTTTGAGAAAGCTCATTTTAATGCATTAGGCCTGATCTTTGACCAGACTATGTGAGCGTTACCTCAACAAATCGTGATTCTCACTAAACAAAGCCTAACATTTTCAAAAGCATGAGCCAGTCCCTGGGACAAGGTATACAGTTCCACAAAGGACTTCCACATTAAAACAAAAGAACTAATGAAATATTCACAGCACAGCAAATGGCTATCAGTATTAAAGCATACTCTAAGTGCAACACCACAAAAAAAAAAAAATTAAAATTAATTTTGAAATAAAAACTGTATGGAAAGTTCATGATCTAAAGCATTCTCTATGTTATCACCTATCCTACCTGCATAACTAATTTCTTAATACAATAATGTTGGAACAATTTATGATTAAGAAATGGTTCTAAAGCAATCTACATGTTTAATACATCGCAAACATTCATTATTGTCAATCAGTATGCCAGGACACTGGCATAATGATAATGTTGAAATAGAGGGAAGGACGTGCTAACCTGTAGCACAGTAACCCACTTCCTCTGATAATAAACTATTTCCTGATGATATTGTTGAGGTCAACTATTTAGCTGGCCTCACTGTGTACAGCAAAAGAGATCTGTTCATTTGACAGCAGGAGGTCAGAGAACTGGGACAGTAAAGAGGCTGCAGTAACTATAGAGAACCATATTTGTTCTACAGAAGGAAGCTGAGGAACACATCAAGGAAGAAAAATGAATTTCAAATGAAAAAGAACAAAACCAGATTGGAGATCTTAAGTGTAGGCCCAAGTTTAAAAATCCAGAAAAACAAAGTCTAATTAGCTGAGGTAAACAGGGTGGGGTTGTTGTTTGGTTTGGGTTTTTTAGAAGTCAAAATATATACCAATGACTTCTGGATTAAAAAAATCTTATATGACACGTTATTAATAGCATTTGGATTCAATATATTGATAGGAAAGAACAAATACACTGCACTATGCAATATTCCCTAAAGTACAATCACATGCTTTAATTCTAAAATCAAGAGATTGTCATGACCCTAGCATTAAACTCTACTTTTCACCAACTAGAAGAACAGGATGTAAACAGAGTCTCAGAAATCTGGGATTATTAAAACTTGGTCTTTATTAGCAAGGAAATTTGATCCTAAGGAATGTCAGTCACATACCGTACTTATTACTAGGTTAAAAATAAAAACCAAAACAAAACTAAGTCGAGATAGTTTTAAAACAAGTAATCAGATGGAAGTAAATTCCAGGACTTTTTTCCGTCAACTAGTAGCTTATATTACAACTTTAAACCAATTTGCCTCTAATTGCCTTCAAGCACCATATTTGGGGGCACGTATGCTTATTACTTTTGTCTAGGTTAGAACTAGTGAAGCAATCTCTTTTCTGAAATTCTCCCCAAAACGTATTTCAACACTAAGACAATCCTTTTTCAGCTGTAGATAAGAGAGATGAGTACATCAATGAATAATGTTATTTCATTCTGGAATTTAAGTTAACGAAGGATACAAACTACTGCCAGAGATTCTTACTAGCAGGCTTGCAGAAAGCAAGGTTTCTGCACAAGTCTATATACTTGCCTGGCGTCACACCATTTCACACAGCCTTAATACTGCCTGTCATGGTCAGAACTTCTAAATAGCACTTTGGAATTGCTAAAGGCATTCGGCTGCTAGTGTCAATGCTTGAGTAAGACGGTTTTCAAAGACTACAGCTTGTTATTATCTATTATTTCATATCACCTCTTAGATGCCAACTGCTTTTTACGCCCTGAAAAATGAAGATAAAGAACTCTGAGTACTGGAGGATATTACTAAAACAAATTACATGACGAATAATGAAATACTAGGCAGAAAGTCAATCTAAAAATCAAAAAAATAAGTATTTCAGTACAACTCTTTGGTAAAGCATGACTTTATCCTGTCTTTCTTACCAAAATACACTGTCCCCTCTTGTAACACGATCCCAATACTACCCATGTTATATTTACACACCATCTCATGACCTAATGCAAACATTTTTTCCTAAATACAAACAAGCAAAATGCAACTGAAAAAACAAAAGTGCCACACAAGTGACAACCTGCTCTTTGAATGGAGTTAAGGAACTGGGAGAAATTACACCGTTCTGACTGAACATGCAACTTCCTTTTTATGGTACATACCTAGAAGTTTAGAAAATGGACACTATCTTCTCTGTGTCTACTTTCTTTTGCTTTTTTAATTGCAGCTCTTACTTTCACTAGAGAACATTCCAGTCAAGCCTGAAGTACCAAACAACTAAGAACAGGCTGACAACACACTCCCTTTTTAAAATCCAAAACAAAGGGGCAAAAGGCAATAGTCTAATTCCTGGATATGCAAAAATTCACTGTTCTGTAAGCCCTTGCTAAAAATCAGGGCATTGAGTGCCTTCACGCTTCATACAGTCACTTCCTCTTCCCATTTCTTCCTTTCTATTTCACAACATAGAAACCAAGGTGTCCCTATGTATCTCTCTTCAGAGGGCATCCATGAAGAAAAATTGGTCTGTTCTGTCCCTCAGCCCATGACCATTCCCCCTCACTAGTCTGAGGTCACAAGAACCCTGAGCCAAGGCCCCCCCCTTCCCAATCCCATATGAATACCAGAATAAACATGGGAAAATTTATGCTTACAATCACCTCATGAGAGGGCCAGAGGAGACAAGCTAATAACTGATAGCTTAATCTCAGTTCATAAGTTACAAGTAATTAACATGAAACACAATGAAGCGACCAGGCCAACACCAAAAATGCTGCTGGTAAAGCTACACAGATCAAAACCACACAGGTAGCCAAAAGCTGCGCAGTGTGAGGGGTCCAGAATAAAATATGTTTGCTAACACAAGCTTCATTCACATTAGAAACGCTCGCCCACTCGCGGCAGCGCTGCTACAGCTGTATCAGCGAAGCCCTTCCACTGAACCTGGTCTAAGCAGCAGCATGCCAAGCCAACGTTGCCTCTTAACACCCTGCCCTGTACTCTACTGCGAAGCTAACATTTTATGTAAGATCTGTAATAGGAAGCTCACAGAAAATGTTAATCAGCGCCTATAAAACCTGTGCTAATTTGAGCCAGAGAACAGTGCAAAATTCAATTACAAGAGAGAAATGGCCTTATCAGCCACTAGTGGAAGTTAGCTTCTAATTTTACCTTTTGGTTTCGGGGCAAGTCTTGAGCATTTGCAGGAGGATTGAAATTCAAAACTAGTCTTCGAAACTCCAGTAGGTTAAATAATGACTGAAAAGGAAAAAAAATAATTAAGAAAACCCCCCAACGCTTAAGCACTTCTGTAAACAATACAAAATTCTTTCAAAAGTGCCTTGCAAACTAAGTGAAATGTCAAACATATGAAATGCTAAAGTTTCATTTCAGAAGCTGTGTTATTTTACTTAACTTTGCTAAACATATTTCCAACATAAGACAATTATTTTTGCCAAGAAAACAGCATAATCAAAACAACTCTTTTACAGTAAATCACTTAAATAATTTTAATTATAGGTAAATTACTTTTTACAATAAGAATTTTATTAATTGCATAACTGTCCGTTTTCAAATAAAAATTAAAGCTTGTTTAGCCATGTAAAATTCATCCTGTAGCCCCTCCATCATCTACCTCCTCACTGCAGAGGGAGTACATCTTTGTATACGCAACTTAAATCCACTTGCAATTATCTGTACTTTTTGCTTTCTGTCCACTCTTCCCACTATTATAGGATCTGAATACTGTACACTAGAGTAAGGAGACTGGGTTATACATCTTTGCAGGTAAGTAACTGATAACATTCCCATTTTACAGACAACAAGACATGAAAACAGGCGTCTACAGGCACACTCACGAAGAGCCCCACAGCGTAAGACAGAGGAGCCAAGAGTACAGGAACAAGATGACTCTGGGTTGCGAAAATAGAAGTCCAAAGCAGTGGCTGAGAACTAAAGTCCTCAGCGCTTGCTTAACTGCATCGTTGCTTTTCTGTACAGACAGAAAGCACTTTAAAGTTCACTTCATTACCATTTTGATGAAGAAAGGGTAGCAGAAAAGGTCTAAAGTATTTCAAACACACTCATCAGAGAAGCATAAGAAAGATTTGCCCTCCTATTTCATCCCCTTTGGTTTTACAATCTATAATTAGCTTTTTTTTTTCTTTTTTTTTTTTTTTGCCTGATCCCATACTGCTATTTATTTTGTATTTATTTTGGAAAGGCAGAGCTTGCCTACCCCAGCAATAGACTTTGATACCACAACTTGTCCTACACAGGTAAAGACTTAAATCACAGAACAAAGTGGGTATAATAGGATTTCTACCCCATAGTGCCAAGAAAGTGAAACTCAAATTATAAAGAGGCACTGCATTTATTCCAGTAATTTAGAAAATGTTAGAGGGAAAAAAAGATGAGTTTGAAAAGTTGCTGCATTTCCAACTCTCCTTGTGAAAGAGCCTGTACTGAGTTTAACCTCTTCCCATACCCCAAAGTATATAGCATCTCCAGCAAAATGAAAAGGCTAAAGTTGCCTTCCTAACATTTTTAGATTTAATAATAAAAAAATCAAAACCCCAACCAAAAAAGACCTTTCTGATGTTGCTAAATCAACACAGAAAATTGAATAGTCAAGCTTTCTCTTCTGTTTTGCTGTTCAAAATACAGTTTCCCCTTTTATTTGTCCTTGCAGAGAAGGGAGGTTAAAACAGAGTCTCCTTTGTTTACTTACTCAAAGCATAGAAAATGCTAATATTTAATTCAAGTGTCATTTTAGAAGTTGATACTAACTGAAGTTATATCTCATGATGTAACAGCATTCCACTGGTAGGCTCTTCATCAAGCAAAACATAGCAGTGTCTTACATACAAAATAAACCAGCTGCTGAAATATAATGTCCAAAGACTGACTTCTCTCCATGACTAACCCAAGTGCCAAAGTGCCAAGCAGCTGAGCTGGCCAATTTCATAATACACACACAGGAATTAAGTACAGAAAACTGTACTAAAGTTTAGAATTCTTGCCTGGCATTCAATCCACAAGTTTTTCACAAAAAGTGTATTTCTTTAATCCAGAACTCTAAACCGTGAGCATGTAACTCCATGCTTCACTAAGCTGAACAAACCTAGTTCTGCAGGGTGCTGAGAATAATTAAGAGGATTATCCAATATGTTCATTTCTTCTTCAGCTTTGTTCTACTCAAAATTTCATATGCAAGATATTTAGTTATTAAGCTATTCTCCAGAAGAGCTTACACTGTCAGTGGCTGTATGCAGCAGAACACTCACAGTTAATCTACTACCAACACCATTAATGCCAACAGGACAGTATCATGTTGTAGCTCTTCTATACCGAGCTAAATCAAATTCAGTAAACTTCTATCTTCATTTAAAAAAAATATATATAATTTCAAATATAAACAAGTACACAGCAAGTGTGCCTTGAGACCAACCAATTTTCATGCCTGAAGTACCTCAAGGAGGAACCTATGGTTCTTCCTGAGGTAAGGAGATAGAAATGAGCTCCCCTAAGCCCTCACTGCAGCAGAGACCTCCCATGGCCACCCATCCAAGGACTTCAGAAAGGGGCTAGGGAAAACAATTGCCAATTTGCCGAGCCATCTGTTGACTAGGCTTCCTACACCCAGGGCAGGCAGCGCCATGGAGCAGAAGGTGATGTTCTGCAGCCACCGAGAGAGAGAAGAGGCTGTCCCTGGCCCGAGTGGCACCCGCTGGCCCCAGGCCCAAGCACTGGCCTTCCAAACAGTGCACGGGGCAGCACCTCATCTCTCACCCACTTGGCTTCAGCTACAGAAAGGTGTCAGCAGTCCCAGTGGAAGAAAACAGGCTGGATTTAAAAGGTGGATACTTCATATCTACTGGCCTTGATCAAATATTTTTATAGCTTACCAATGTAAACTATGCAAAACTTACGTATGCAAGAAAAATTCCCGAAAAGGTTGGGAGGGGGTTTCCAGTGTATTTAAGCCTATTTAAAAGCTGTCATCTGGAAACTTGACCAAGCTAAGGCTAAGATAAGTTACATCATTTCAAATTATCATGAAAATCAACAGATTTTTAGAATACCTGCCTCATATTATGTCAGTTAGGGAGCTGAACAAGAGAGTAAAAGAAAATAAAAATAAAAAAACAACAACAAAAATTCACTGTTGGTTTAGAGTACTCAAACTAACAGTGCTGAACGACAACATGTATAGTGTGGCTTTCCCCTACTTCAGGTGGTGGTGTAGACATATTTTCTGTCATGCCAGAGAGAGCTAAGTAGAGTTGTAGCTTCAAGACTATAAGATATTAAAAACATTCACTTTTCTGAGTAATGTCTACCCACACTACATAGAGTCCAATCACCATTTCAGAATATAAACTGCCTTGGTTTCACCCTGAACACCCTGCTTATCCCCTTTTCCCCCCTTAATGTCTAGGATTATCAAACATAAGGACCTTGGCAGAGTTTAGGTTGCCTGAGTAAAGGATTAATTCTTAAAATTCAAGAACTGTGATGCTGCATTAATACTGCAAGAATATAAATTAGTCAGCATATTAAATCCATAAAAACTTGGCATGCAACGCAGATCGTTAAAAGCTGCCAGCAGAGTCCTAAAATAGTAAAGGTACTGACATCAACAATACTTGGAGATTAGGAAATCAGTACTTCTGTGTCTAGATAAGAGATGACCTATCAAGCTGCCACACAGAGCTTTAGACAGACTCTCTCTGATGGAGTCTTGCAAGTTCCGTAAGCACAAAAAAACCCCAAAACAGCTGTTTCACTAACGGATGTATGAAAACCTTTTGTCTTCTTTGACTAGCAATTTTGTATTTGTTTGCACCGTTGAGAACGAAAAAGCAAAAAAAATTGCACAAGAACTGAGAAATTTTTAATATTGACCACCTTTATACAAGTTTACACCATAAAAGTAATTTCATAATACTGTGAACACAGCCACCTTCCTGTTCAATTCACAAAGGTTAAGCTTGGAAGGAAGGACTTTCAAATTGTTCTGTGAAACACAAAGCAATTCAGACTACAAAGTCTAAACCAGTCAGCAAGATGCCAAAAATGTTCTCATTTGGCAGATAATCATCTAAGATGCTTAAGTAGAATGAATACATTTGACCAATGCCTTAAGGGCTGCAAAAAACCTAAACTTCTAAGGTGTTAGGAAAGAAAAATAAAAAGTTAAGCCTAGCAAATAAAATAGGACATACCTACTGGCAGACAGCTGGGAACACCACCAGCATATTGTGAAATGCGGTCATCAGTCAGGTTTCTTAGTGCAGCCCTGAGAAAAGCTGTGCAATTTCTACTCTTGTGGCAGGTCAGTTTGTAGGCTCCATTTTTACCAAAGTGAAGGGGATTAACAATGGGCAAGGATGCCACAACTAGTATAGGTATGCGTTACAATACCTGTGTGTCAGCAGCAAATGCTGGCTAGGAATTTGGCTAAATTAGTGTCAAGGCTTAAGATTTAATAAGATAAAAATACAAAGACTAACTTGAATTTTGGCAAAGAAAATTTAGGAAGGACTTAATTTGGCTAGTAACCAAAACCTAAATTTATCTTACTAGTACAGATTGAAAAGCAACTCTTTGGCAGGTGGAAGAAAAGCATGCATTCCTAGAGAGCTCCTAAACGAACTGCTTCAGGTACTGGCGTTTAGCTCAGACATGACCTTGGGTAAGTTAAAAGCTTATATATGCATTAACACATTGCAATACTCTTTTGCCTCCTTTAGTCATCTCGGGCCTTTTATACATTTCCAATTTTACATTTATTCAGATTTTAAAGCCAGAAAGCAGGAACCATATCTACCTTCATTTTGTACAGCAAGCAGAAAGCAATCTTAAAGAATGAATACATTATTATTGTTCTAAAAATAAAAAGCAAAAATAGAGTTCTACCTATGCCATTAAATATATTATTTGGAATACTTTGCCTCTACCAACATAACAAATTAGACTTATGTTCTCACTTTATAAACAATTTTGGTGGTTTACTATATACAGAGCTGGTTTTAGTGGTGTAAATCGGCCATTATTAGGGTTAACTTCTTATTCATGCCAATAATCTAAATCAAAGAAAACACAGAATGCTATGGAATGTATGCTCCCACCTGAACGCACTCCCATATGGTCCTTCTAATAACATCAAGAACTTTAAATTTACTAGTTTTCAATATTTGAAGTGCTAAGGGTTCAAAATAGAAATACTCCTAAATACTGCACTTAGACTTACTAGT